CTTCTCTTCTATTAAAAAAAAAAAAAAAATGTTAAGTTTCAAAGAATTTCTCCGGGACAGGAATCTTTGCCGCAAAGTTGGTTCAAACTTTTCGATCTGTCTAGTTCAATTTGAACCGACTCGTTTTGACACGAAGTCGCATTTGCAGTCCCGTTGCACAGAAATTTCAAATGCTTGAAATTCTCTCGATCCGATTATAGTTGAAATATACGTGAGTTACGAAAAAAGTTGGTATATCTTCTGATATATCTTCTGAAAACGCTTATTTTGTAGATTTTTCGAAAACCTTTTTTTTGTATATTTAACGTGTCGTATCGATGTTTTCTACATACAAATATATTCATTTCGAATTTTTTTAGTAAGAAAATAATTAATCTTTTTGAACTTAAAACGTATCTTTCGTAGACGTAAGCAGAGACGAACGATTTACAGAATTACAGCAGCATCCTACTTCTGAAAAGAGAAGAGGTAATGGCTAGAAGCGATCTTTTTGCCACTTTATGGTAATTCCGGGATGGATGGAACACGATGCGGAAGACAGACCAACCTCTGCTCTATTGGAAACCGCGTGGAAATATTGGGTCGGAGATTATTTACATTTCAAACTAGACACAACTGGCTCCTATGGAAAATAATCCCTTTTTTCTCTCTTTCTCTCTCTCTCTCTCTCTCTCTCTCTCTCTCTCTCTCTCGTCTAACATCCGAGTAAAGGTTTAGTCAAGGTTCGCTCGTAAATATATATATATACGCGCGTATATACGATTAATATTAATCGTATATAATTTATTCTCGGCACGTATTTTCTCTCTTGCAAATAACACAAATTTGCCTAAGTGAAACTCGAGTACTAAACTAAATTCACGAAAGCGAAGTGAAATTCGTTGGAAGTTTCCTGTAAACAACTTGTCTTCTATTAATGCGATTAATAAAATATGGGATACATAAATTATATATACGTATTTAGAATTATTTTTAAAAAGGAGAGACGAATCGGTTACTTTGAAGACGAATCACTTCGTCAATATATTTTATTCTTTCGCGTTTGAAATAAAGATTAAAATAAGGAAGAAAATTTGAAGAGCAAATAATTTAACGACACGATTTCACGGAGATAACACGACAAGTGACAAAATAGCGGATAATCGTTATTAGAAAGGGGAAGATAAGATCGCAGGGGGATCGACAGCCTCGAGCAGCCGTAAAATTGCATCCGCACGCATCGGAAAATGGACGATTTTCCGCGATATCTCGATCTTTCGAACTAGCTAGGGACTAGCGTGAGTTGGCCGAACAGATTTTAGATATTCTCGTCGATACCCTTCAACACCCACGCTCGTTAAGAAATTTTCTTTTTTTTAAACGGCATTAAATAAAAATTCAATTGGTGGCAACTTATAAGCGATCAATTTCAATTCTCTCGTCTATTTGAATGTTATTCGCGAAAGGATCGTGCTTGGAGAATCTGAGGGTTAAATTTCAAGAATACGTCGTAAGAAAGAAGAGGAAACTCACCGCTGAGATAGAAATGACTGGTGGTGTTGTACAAGTTGGTGACGATGGGCTTGATATTGTCGAAGGTCATGGTCTTGAGTTTATTGTCCCTCAAATTGAGCATGTAAACGGCTGGTGCCCCGGCCAGGAAATCCGGTTCGAGAGTTACCAACTCGTTCTCGCTGAGCGTGAGTTGCTTCAGGTTCCTCATTCCGTCCAACGCTTTCTCCGTGATGTATTTGATCTCGTTCTGATCCAGCTCCAATTCCGTCAACGAGGGCATCTCGATGAACGTTCGATCACCGATCATGGCGATTAAATTGCCCCGCAGATTCAAACTGACCAAACTCGTTAACCCGTGAAAACTGTCCGCGGTGATCACCTTTATCTGATTGCTGGACAGGTCCAGTTCCTTGAGAGAGGTGAGATGCTTGAACGCCTTGTCGTGTAACGTGTTGATGTTGTTCTCGTTCAGATAGAGATTCTTCATGGATGGCAGATTGACGAATACGTCCCTGGAAATCGAGCGAGCGTTGAAAGTTAAAGGTATCGAGGGTGAAAATTCGCGCTCTCGATCGTAACGACGTTTAATCTCGGAGGGGAGGGGGAGGAAAAACGATGGTGGATAAATGGACGTTCTCTGTCGGCGAGCGCATTCAAGCGAAAATGGAGAGAAACGAAGAGTTTACGAATACAGGAGACGCGATACGACGCGCGATAGAAGATAAGAAGCCGCGATGCATGCACCCACGCCAGATACACGGAATCGTAATCGGTAACCGTGCATAATCGGCGTCCCAACGAAAATCTTGGGAGTGGAAATAATTTTTCGATAATGGTTAAACGTTTTCGACGACGCAATTTCATTCGATCGAGCCTTGTTCTCCGAGCGACGTAGCTCTTGTCGAGATCGATATCGCGTAATTTTACGCGAAACTTTTTTCAATCGAAATTTTATCGATAATGAAATCGCTCGTAAAATGATTCTGCGCTTTACTTATCGAGATCGTTTCAACTTATCGTTTGTATGCATAACTAATCGTACGATTATTACAAAAATATCGGAAGGAAAATTTGGATTCGATGCAAAGCGTTCTCTCGTAACGAATCCATCCTTAAGTAAATCGTATGGGTACGTTTTCGCTCGGTACATCGGTTGTATTTACGTTTCGTCAATTTGAGCATCGGTAAGGTAAACTTTGTATCGTTTCGTTTAATTGTTTATTAACAAGGACGATAAGTTTGCGCTGGTCGCGATAATACGGCCGATACACACGAGCAGAAATCGTGTTAACCAGTTTATCGATTAACTCTTAATTGCCAGTTGCACTCTATAAACTGCACGTTTTGTCGCGAAAATATAATTGAACGAGCCGCGCGGAATTTATCGCGCGAATCATTTTCCGCGATTAATTTATTATCATATTATTATATAACGTTGAACGTAAACGTAAAAATACGTACGCGCATCAAAGACGGAAGGAATGGTGGGAACGAAAAACGAGTGGAGGCAGCGAGTGAGAAAATCGGTACACGAGCGCAATGATACGAGTTTCGGAGGAACGTTGCCCCCCGAATGATTAATCCGGTAATTCGAATTATTAACGGGGCTAACGAATAGCGAATAATTCGAAACGCAGCAAATTGGCGCAAGAGGCGAATTCGATTTGGCTGGAGAAACTCGGTGATTGGTCGACGGATCGCGAAATTCAACGGCAATTTACGCGTCCAGATCGAGTTTTCGTTTCGCTTCGGGCACAGAATTACCAAAGATTCGAAGAAACGAGTTTTCGAGTTTTGATCCTTTCTTTTTTTTTTAGATCGTGTTAAATGAAAATTTGAATTAAACGCGGAATAAGGACGAAATTGGGCGATTCGTAGCGTTGGAAATATCGATCCGCGCGTGAATATCGCGAGTAACGAATAACGAGATGCAGATTGGAGCAGCACGACGTATTGCGAGTTAAAGGGAAAATAAGGAGGCAGGTAAGATCAATTTTTTCTTTTAAATCGAAATTGGAAAGTGGAAAAAATAAGCGTGTTCCTACCTGTTTATCTCGGTGATCCTGTTCTCGTTCAGATAAACGATCGTTAGATTTTTCATATTCTCGAACGCGTGCATCCTGAGGGTCGAAATGGAGTTTCTACTCAAATTGATATCGGTGATCACAGGCAGGTTCGAAAACGCGTATTCCGCGAGTTCGTTGATGCTCGCGTCCTGAATCGTGATGATTTGCAAGTTGTTGAGCAGGGTGAACAGCTGGACGGGTACATAATCCAATCCGTTGGGCGTTCGAACCACGAACTTGAGCTTTTGCAGGTAGATTTGCGAGTCGAAGTTGTTCCACGTCGGATCGTTGCTCGTGAACGGGTTTAATATGACGCAAGTGGCATCCGTGGCGTTCCTCAACTCGTTGTTGTTGCAATAGCAATACATGGGGGCCTGCATCCCCTTTATCTCGCATATGTTGGCGTCTTTCACCTCCTTGGCCACCTTCTTCTTCCCCCGAGACCTCGTCGTCGCCGATAAACTCGAGGCTGCGATCGAGACCAGGAACAAGATTTGAAGAAAGAGCCGGGATAATCGTTTCATCTCGAACGGATCTGCGAACAGAGAAATTTCTCGTTGCAAATTGTTTCTGCGATTATAATCCGAATAATCGGATCGATTGTGGCTACGACGCTGGTGGCGCTTTTCGATTAATTATCTCGGGTACGATTGGAGTCGTCGAGCGACGATAATAAAAATCGTTGGAGAAGAAGAAGAAGAAGAAGAAGAAGAAGAATCGTTGCAGCCTGTTGAAACGATCGAAGGAAAGGCTTATCTTGACCACCGTTATGGTTCATCGGGCTAGAAAAATCTGGTCGACAGCCAGGGAACGAACAAAGGGAGAAAGTGGCCGGGAGTG